AGGAAGGAAGGAAGGAAGGAAGGAAGGAAGGAAGGAAGGAAGGGGTTGTGTTCCTTTTAATAGAATCCGCATCCTTGATTCCCAACTGACGTTATGTGGCATTGATGTAGTCATTACAAAAGCCCGCTGATTTATTGTGGCACAGAGAGCTTTATTGCTAGGAGACAAAGAGCAGCTGAGTTGGGGCTAGGGAGGCAGATCACAAGGCCCAAATCCTCCTGGGGGGCATGCAAGGGGTGGGGAGTCCTGTTTTGGATGTGCGCACGTACACGTGTGAGGGCTGATTCTCACATCACACACACCAAGACATAATTTGCTGAGCAGCGGCTTACTAAGTGAACCACAAGTGGCTGAATTCACACCTTTCCGGAAGCTATACAGCCTGGTGGATGAAGCCCCAAAGATGGTTTGGCCCCACACGTGAAACCCAAATTGCCTGACACAACCCAGACATCAAAACTGCATTAGCCCCCAAATACATGAGATCCACCCCCTATCCCATAACTAATTTGCATTCATGTTAGCAATATTTAATGTTAATTAAGATAAATATAAATGGAGAGAAAGCAAATTTAGTCCACTCCCCCCACCCCATCTATATTTTGCAGTAGCGTTTCCCAGCACCCTCCTCCAAAGCAAAATTGGGGGCTTGGGCTTAGCGTAAGTTGAACGTCGCCCCTCTCTCAGCAGGCCCATCTGGAGGAGGGAGGGACAGTCCCCGTGTCAGAATCCGAGACGGACATCAAGGCCATTTTTAATTATGTGCTCAAGGTTCTGATGGCTTCTTAACTCAAACACAAACCAGAAGTTAAAGGTGACAGAGGATAAAATACTGAAAGAGAAAAATATATCCTTCCAGTTGTTTCATTCCAAAACCAAAGCCGTAAAACAGAAATAGGTGTAACAGGTCTTCAGGCACCTTAAAGACCAAAACATTTATGAAGGCTTTTCATTTCCTAGCATGCCATCCACTTCCTCAAACACCTGGAAGGTTATACAATAACCTAATCAAGGAGCTACCAACTCAGACAGACAAACAAGCAGTAAACAACAGCCTAATCTAGGAACTACCAAGGGGCAGGGGGTAACTCCCCTACCAACACTGACAGGGCAAACTACTATATATAAATAGAGAGCAAACCCCACTCCCTTCTAGCACTGAAGGTGTTACCTAGTCGGGTAATGAAACGTCTGCAAGAAAACAGCCAAGCTCAGAGAGCCCCAAGGCCTCCTCCACCTGGAGAATTATCCAGGGTGAGAGGTCTACAATGATACAACGCAGTGCAATGCAGAAGACGCACATGGTAATAGTGACCTAGAGATGGTAGCTATTCTTGAAGCAGTTGCCCTCCCCAATCATGGTTTCATGGGTTTGCTGATCGATACGCAGCTCCTGGATGGCTCGGAGTAATGCCCTGATGAGACCCCGTCAGCACAGCTGAGAATCAGAAATAAGGAGCTGTACATCCCAAACACCTGGAGTGTCTTCACAAGAATCCCGAAGAAGCCAGCTCGGGACTGGACCCACCAAGAGCATGAGTGGCCCAAACGGGGCAGAACCAGGAGCATCAGGACCATGGAGAGCTCCTTCGGAGCTTCTCGCGGCCAAGGGAGCTGTCCCTTCAGCACCTTCCTGCAGCCAAGGGAGCCCTTAAGTAGGCTGGCCAGTCAGGTGACCCCTTAGGCCCCCTCCCCGCCCCTTGCTGAGAACTGAAGACTTAAACAGCCCACAGCCCCCAATTCCTGGGTGGCTGAGAACCCCAGAAGATTCTGGATTCAAGGGGTGGGCTCCAGTCCAAAGGCCCTGGGATGGGCCGCCTCAATGCCCATCACCCCCTCCCTGGCTGACTGGGAGCGTCCTGGCATTTTATTTTCCCAAATGCTCCGAGGGAGCCCTGCTCCCAGGCAACCTGGGAGATTCAAAGGCTGGGGGCATTTCCTGGAGGAGCTGAAGCAGCCCCCTTTCGTCACGGCTGCCTCAACTCCTAGACGGCCAGGAGCTCCTTTGCCCTCTGCGTCCTTAGCCTCCCGTCAATTCCTTTGCCTCCTTATCCAAACAGATCTCTCCCTGTCCCTCACCAGCCCGCCCCCCTCCAGAAACTGAAGGGGGGAGAAAAATGTTCCTTCGCTTGGAGACCGAGAAGACAGCTAGCCTCCTGCTAGTGATGTTGGCGGAAGACAACGCTGAAAGCCACAAGAAGAACACAACACCTGGGGCAGCTAACTTCAAATTTGAAAAGCAGCACAAGTCTCTGCCAAATTATCTCCCTCTGATAAGGGCAGCTCCTCCTCTTTAGCACAGGGTGATATCCCCCCCCCTTAAAAGCAGCCTCTGCTTTATATCTCCAAATTATTTATACTGCATATTATTTGTATTTATCTCCTTAAAGCAACTGCATGCCCCAGTTTTCAAAGGATGGAAGATCTCCAGAATCTGTTATGACACAATTAAAAAAGCAACATTCTGAATCTCCCATTTGCATTTGGAAAGAAGGCACAATTCAGATGGCCAAAAAAAAGGTGTGGGGGGGGGGAGAAATCATATGGGGCCTTGCCTTCCCTACCCCAAGAGGTGGCAAAGATCACCAATTTGGATGGCTTTAAAAGAGGGCTCCAGAAACTACTTTAGAATAAAGCTACTGGTGGATTTTCAGCTACATCCAAGGAAGCCATTCAAGGCAATCTCTAGGTCTAGGATCCAAATTTGTTTTATGGGCTTATTCAGGAGACATTCAGATGCCAAAGGACTTATTGGTTGGATCCACTCCAGGTGTGCTGAAGTTCTCCCTGATGCACCTTCACGACATCCTATGCTTGGGGAGACTGAAGCTTTTCTGCCTGCACCTTGCTGTGAGAACTCAGCCCTACTCACAAAATCATAGAATCGTTGAATCATATTGTTGGAAGGGACCTTGGAAGTCTTCTAGTCCAACCCCCTGCCCAAGGCAGGAGTCCTCATACCATCTCGGACAAACGTTTGTCCAATCTTTTCTTGAAAACCTACTCAGCAAGTTCATAATTCAACAGATGGCATGGAGGCAGAAAAGGGGTCAACTCTGCAGCCATGCTGGATGCTCCCAACCAATCTGTGTTGGTTAATCTCCTCTTGAAGATTGAGGCTCACCATCGGAGTGAATCCTCCTTGGGAAACAAAGACTGGATGCTTCTACAGCCACTCCGTTGACGGGATTTAGCTCCCTTGCTAAAACAGTCTTGGTTATGGTGGCAGACAGCAACACTACTGATGGGTCAAAACGTTACAGCCCTGCACTCTCGCAGACATACGAGAGTTTCCCAAGGAGAATTCACTCCGATGCTTCCAAAGAAAGGTTCTGATCAGGGGGCCAAACTTCTCCAAAGCTGCTCATGGGTCTTTATTTCCCATCACTGACCAGCTGCTCCTTTTTACAATTAGGGCTGGAATTCGAGCAATGGAGCTTCAGCGGCCCTTTCTGAAGCCTGCAACAGCCCAGCAGATACGTGTGTTTGCCTGCTGAAATCCTCCAATCCCGACAAACAGATCCATTAATTCTCCCGAAGGGGCCTGCGAGCAGATGTGCTCTTGTTTTCAGCTTCATGGGATCCACACGAGCCACCAACTTCCTTGTGGAGGAGGAGGAGGTGAAATGGCGAAGCTCCAGGGACGCGAAGTCATGGCGACCATTGCTAAAGACCCATCAGCCTGTCATGCCAAATTGGTCAGATTCAACGTCTTTCACTTTCTTGCTTTTGAGAAAATATCAAATTCATTTTCTTGCTTTTTCTTCTTGTGAAAACATTCATTGGATGTGAGATGTTTTAAGTCCCTGGATTAAATTGGTCTTTATGTGGGGGGCACATCTATCAGAGCCTTTTGGTATTATTGCAATTTATTAGCATACATGTTTCTTTTTCCAACTCCCCCCCCCACACACACATCCTATACATGTTCATTCTTTATTTCTTTCATAGTTGCATTTCTATGCCAACTTTTTCCCTCTCTCATATGCTTTTAAAAACAGTGGGCCAACAGGTATTACAACACTTAAGGATTGCAAATGTCAAATGAGAGCTAAGTTTTGATTAATGAGTAGGTTTAAAAATGTGAAATTAGGTGAGTTCATTCTGAAATGGGGTCTTCTCCCCGCTTTCTATTTTGGGTTGTCCCCATTCTCTCTGACACTCCCCACGTTCCTCCTTCTCTTTCTCCGAGTCCCTTCATGTGCTGAAGACCACCTTTTCCACACAGCGGTCCAGCCGCTGCAGCCGAAGACATCTGACGCTCCATCCTCCATTTCCCTCCAACTAAATTCAGAAAGAATTGCAAGACCAACTCCGCTTTCCCTCCAGCTGAAAATGTCTCTTCCTGCCTGCATCATTTTATTTCAAATTCGCCCCGACTCCTTCCGCGGTCGGGCGCGTGGCTGTGAAATATCTGCTGAAATATGAAACTGACATAGCTGAGGTATAAAACGGAGGGGACTCAAGGGGAGAAAAGGATCCTCCTGAGGGGGAACAAACAGCGCCTGGCCTGAAGATCAAAAGATCAGAATCAGAGCAAAAATCATGACGCGCGCAAGCTGAGAATACGCTCACCGACGTCAAAAGCAAGGCGAGATCTGCAGGCGCTCTGGCTGGGGATAGGAAGCTGGGTTGTTTCTAGCGTCGCGCTCTGCCCTGGATTTACTGGGGACAGGTGTCTGTTTGAGTGCTGGCGGGGTTTGGCTTTGGAAGATCCCAGCGGTATCTAGCATGGGGGGGGAACCATCTTTTTTTCCAGGGGAAGGGGGGGTGCTGAAATCACAGGCCCTATGGGGAGGTCAAGGAAGGACGCTTTACCTGCAAGAAGAAAAGGACAACGAAGCACTCTGCAACCTGTTTCAATGAGACCATCCTCCCAGAGGTTTAAAGCAATTATAAAATGCATTTGCCTTGCTATTAATAAGGTAAAAGCACTTCCCTCATCCAGAACGGAATTCGCCTTTCTTCTTGGCTGACGCTTCACAGCATGAATCATGCTATTTTAAATCCTCTTGCAAGTCTGAATCCATCTCTTGTTTTAGGTCGGGGGTGGGAGCGCAGAGCGTCGCAACATCTTCTTCGGAAGACGAGGCCTCTGTGCTTTTTTTAAAAATCAAAATTGCTAAGATTTTTTTTTTTTAAAACCCTGTCCAAATGGTTGCAGCCTGTGGCGGAAGCCATCCCTTTGCTTAGGGACATGCTCAGGCCTCTGGCGAGAACCATTTCCCGAGCCAATGCCACCCGGAACAAAATAAATATCTTCCACCTTGGGCTAAAAGTCGAGATACAAAGACCAGCCTTGAAAAAAAAAGGGGGGGTGGAGAAATCAGGGTGAATAATTGGAATACAACTGAAAAAAATTGGAGACAAATGGCAAAATCAGGGGGGAAAAAACACTTTCACACACATGTACTAGTTTTTCTCTAACGTTCTCACCTCTAACCGTAACCATTATTTTTTCCATTTTTTCCTTAGATTTACTCTATAATCTCTGAAGGGCTGAAAGGGCACACGTACAACCCGAGTTTCTAAGACAGGGTCAGAATGTACCTTTTGCCACACAGAAGCTCTGGATTTAGATCCTGGTGTTTCCAGGTGAAACAAAAACCCCTGGAAAGTCAACAGTACCGGGCCAGAGTTCAAGGACTCACTCTAAGGCAGATTTTCACGTTTGAGAGCATCTTTCAATTCCTGAATGGTGCTCTGGTAGAAGAAGAAAACAGCTCTTTGCTAGCCCAGAAGACAGAGATAGGTAAGATGGAGCTTGAGAGACGGAAATGACTAAAGACTGGTGGGTTCTCCTTCCCAGATGTCTTTAAAGAGAGGTTGGTCAACCATCTCTTGAACACGTCTCTCGTCAGAGTTCCACCAACCAATCTTGCTATCCAACAGGTCTGAAAGACAGGAGCCCAGAGTTCTTGGCCAGCCTGGCTGAACGCAAGTCTACCGGGAGTTGAAGTCCAAGCCCCCACATCTGGCGCCCCAAGGTTAGAAAAGGCCTACAAGAATTCTCCCCTCAAAGAAAGTCACTGAGAGCAGGACCCACTTCCTGCACTGGGTTCCGTAAGAAAGTCAAGAACAACATTTCCTGAGTTAGGCAAAGAAAGATCCATCTGGCCACACACCAACATTAATTTACACGCAGACTCAGTTTTGGTTACTGCTACAGTACAATCCGTGTCATCCGTTCCTTCCCTCAGAAAGGCTGCCTGACGTTTATTGGCTCGGCTTGAATGGAAAATAGACAATTCTCGCAATCAGAGGGTGATGCAACAGCGCTCTTCTTGGGGATGTTGTGAAAATGAATTACAGAGCATTTCCTAGACGGACACATTCCCCAAGACTGAGTGATCAGAGCAGGACGCACGCTGAAACTTACACGCTGACGTGGATATAAAACATAAAGTTGCCGTGTGTCGTGAGCTTGTGGTTGAAGCATTTGTGATGTGGGTTCCTCTTGCATGCAGAATTACTTTGTGTTAGATTTGAGGATAAGTGGTATCTAGGAGGTAAGGAGTTGACCCCATGGGCGATTTCTAAAACAGCCCCTTGAAGCCCATGCGCGGGAACAGGTTCCCGTCGCGTCACAGGAACTCAACCTTGAATCAACCACTCTCTGCTGTCAAAAGAAGTTGAGCTGAGTTTCAGGGAGGCAAACAAGATCTGACCTGGGCGGCAGGAAGCGGACAGATCTCTGCAATGATTCTGGGAAAAGGGTTGTGAGGCTTCTCGGTCGACCCCCCTACCCCCCAGCAAGGATTTTCTCCAGCTGACGTTGCCAATTGGGGGCCATTAAGGTGCCATTTTATCCTTCCTGCCCTTCCCTTCCCGCACGCTGCCAGCAGAGAGCAATTGAATGGCCCCACCCCCCTTGGGGACCCACAAAACCCCCACTCTGTGGCTGGCACACACCCAGGAGGAGCTTCTGTGCAGCTAAGTGAAATTGCAGCCCTGCATCCCTGTTCCCCACCTCTGGCATTTTGCCCCAAAGGCCACAGCCAGCCAACTCTGGCCTACGACTGCCACGTTAGGAGAGCAAGCGCATGTTCTCCAAACGAAACCTTGTTTCAAGAGAGTCGGGAAAGTCCCCTCTTCCGAACACGCACAGCCACAGTGACCACAGCAATATTTCGTGCACCGCCACCTTTCTTTCCGAGAAGTCACCCTTGTGCTGTTTTGAACCCCAAAGCAACACATGCTGATTTCCGGAAAGGAGCGAAAGCCGAAAGACTCCAATAAGAGGAGGTCTCTAAATATGCAAACTTGCAAATGTTCTCCCTCCCAAGTTTAAAGAAAAAAAATATATATTTTTACGGGAAGATGCTCAAGTGGCTGGCACTGGCACATCTTAAAAGTTTTTCCTTCTGAGGCTCTGCTATTATGAGTGAAAACACTAAGCGGCTACGTAATCAAAGATGCTCAACCTGGGTACTGAATTAATTTAATTTCCAAGCTTGCATGGTACACTGGACCATCAATTCACTTGGAGGTTTATGTAATCCACAAAATAAAGAAATCAGGAAGGTTGGCCGCTTGCCAAATACAGCTGTTAGGTTTGTAGCTGACCCCAATGAAGCACCTAAGGCCCCCGTTTCCACCTGTAGCCAAACATGTCCAAACCTCTGCCGGATTCCCATCTGCGCAGCCAAAAGGAAAGGAACAGAATAAATATTTGCGCTGGGTCATTTGAAGCCAATCACCGGCGGGGCCTCCCTTTCAAGGTTAAGGCTGAGGTGAGATGCCATGCTAAGGAAAACATGATCATGCGTGACATTCAAATTCTGGGGCTGCCACCTTCGGTGTCAATGACTGATCGAGAGCCGATTTCGATCAGACCAAATATAAAAGCGTATCAGCTGCGTCGCTCTCAGACGCCGTTCCCTGCCTGCAGTAAATTCATATAAAGCATATAACGGATTACGCGTCCATCCTGCTGGGCCGTATTTATGGGAAAAGCTATAGGATACTGGAAAGGACGGTGACGATGCGCCACTGTTCGTAATCCCGATTCCGATCCGCTTTCCAGCTCTGATTTTAGGGAACCCCCAACCCGTCGCCGGAGACGGTCGCTGTTCCTGCTCCTTCGTTCCTCCGACGACTCGCGTAACTTTTTTCCCTTAAAAGTCAGCCGATTCCCTCACGCCCCTCTCCCCGCGCCGGATTTTGGAGCGGCTTCCGCGCAAAGGCGCGAGGACGCGCGTCGGGACCTTCCCGGGCACGCAGAGGGGAGGCGGGAGGCGGGCGCGGGTTCCCACGTGCACGCGGACCCGGGAGGAGGGGGGAAGCGGGGGGGGCGC